GGTTGTGCGAGGCAGCAATTTCCTGTGTTTACTTATGCTGCCATCTTGGTTTCTCCTGCTTATATGTTTTGATGAAGAATTCATTCAGATAGTTTGATCATTTTTAATTTAGCTGGGTTTTTTGTCGTTGTTGAATTTTGAGAACTTTTAAAATTTATTCTGGATACAAATCATTTGTTGGATATATGGTTTGCAGATATTTTCTCCTAGTCTGTGGCTTGTCTTCCTCCTAAGAATGATTTTGCAGAGCACAAGTTTCTAATTTTGATGAAGTCTAAGATACCAATTTGTCTCTTTATGATTATACTTTTTGTATTATACATAAAAATCTGTGCATTACTCATCACAAATGTTTTCTTTAAATACATTTTTATTGATTTTGGAGAGGAAGGAAGAGGGAGAGAGAGATAGAAACATCAATGATGAGAGAGAATGATCAATCGGCTGTCTCCTGCCTACTCCACATGTGCCCTGACCAGGAATTGAATCATGACCTCCTAGCTCATAGGTTGACGCTTAATCACTAAGCCACGCCAGCCGGCCAGTTTTTAGTTTTAAATGTAAAACCTAAAATTAAAGAACTTCTAAAAGAATACATTAAAATAATATATGTGCCCAGCTGGAGTAGCTCAGTGGTTGAGCATTGACCCATGAACCAGGAGGTCACAGTTTGATTCCCAATCAGGGCACATGCCTGGATTATTGGCTGGATCCCCAGGAGGGGCATGCAGGAAGCAGACAATAAAAGGGCACTTGCCTGGGTTGCAGACTTGATCTCCAGTGTGGGCTCATGCAGGAGGCAGCTAATCAATGATTTCCTCTCATCATTGATATTTCTATCTCTTTCTCCCTCTCCCTTCCTCTCAGAAATCAATAAAAATATATTTTAAAAAATATAAATAATACTCTAAACTCCATTTTGAGTTTCTTAAAAAATAAGTTGCAAAGTATGGGTCAGTGTTCATATTTTTACACTAACATCCTAATTGCTCCAGCAGCATTTGTTGAAAAGCCTATCCCCTCTTCATTGCATTGCCTTTGTACTTTTATCTGAAATCAGTTGATTTTATATGTGGGAATCTATTTTCGGTTTTGTTTTTTTTTTTATGTTCCATTGACCTTTGTGTCTGTCCTTTGCACTACAATACTCTCCTCACTACAAGTCTTAAAATCAGGTGATGAGTCTTACTTTTTTCTACTTTTCAATAGTTTTAGTTATTCTAGTATTTTGCCTTTTCATATTGTGCAGAAAAGAGTTAACATAGCAAGCCAGAGGCTATTAACATTAGAAGAGCCTGCTTGCAGATTTGGCCCTTGGCTGGCATCTGGGAATTTGGCTTTTATTTATTTACTAGAGGCCTGGTGCACAAAACTCATGCACTTGTGGGGGTCCCTCAGCCCGGCCTGTGCCCTCTCGCAGTCCAGGAGCCCTTGGGGATGTCCAGCTCTGGGGAGCAGGCCTAAACCCACCGTCGGACATCCTAAGCGCTGCTGCGGAGGCAGGAGAGGCTCCCATCACCTATGCTGTGCTCAGCAGCCAATAAAAACCTTTGACTCTAAGTCCTAAATGGGCTTTTCTGTCAATAGTATTGTACACACGTGGCTGTATTTTTGCTGCTGGTGGGAGTAGGCACTTCGTGTGAATCCTCATTGGAGGGAGAGAGCACAGAGAAAGCCTACAAATAGATTCCTCTCACTTTTGCTTTTCTGATCTGCTACGTATCCTTACTATGTTGCTCTAATGATTCTTCAATGTGGCTTTAACTTTATGTTTAGTCATTTGAGACCGTCCAGCAAATCACCAAACTAGTAGGTGGTCTTAGGACCCCCTAAACACATACATTTTTGAATAAGGTAAAGATGATATTGCTTTAATTGTATAAAACAATAGATTTAAAGGTAAATTATTTAAATTTATAAATTTCAAAGTAATGAACTATCGTACCTTTTCCTCTTCTTTCCAATATAACATCAGGACCAGTGTCTTTATTGACCTTGTGGAGTAATAGGATCAACACTGCCAATTCCAGAAAACACCAGGAGTTTGCTGGACGTTTGAACTCTGTTAATAACAGAGCTGAATTATATCAACATCTTAAAGAAGAAAATGGGTTTGTATTATTTATTGTTAATTGCCTTATAATGAGTTAAAATATAATCAATACTGCTTGTTTGTTATATTCAGCAATTTTTGTTAGTAATATTATGAATCAATACATATTAACTATAAAGAGAAAAAATTAACATCTTTGATTCTTAGTACTTGTAAAAGGCATGATTATTAGTATATTGATTGTAACTGAAAGTTTTTACTTCTTAGAGCATTTTTTCATTGCTCAATAAACATCATAGAGGGAAAAATCATAGAGAAAACTTAATATGTAATACTGACTCTATAAAATAATGGAGGAAAATATTTTTTGATTAAGTAGTACAATATTAGGAAATTTGTTTCAATTGAATAAATCTCAGGTTTGATCATTTTAATCTCCTTTTTAGAAGAACTTTCAATAATGTGTGGCAAAGGAACCTCTAGTGAAAAAAGAAATACATCTTTTACTAAATATCAGAAGTTTTTTTCCTTAGTTTTGCTTGCAGAAGTATAGTGGAAAAAGTGGCCTTTGAAAGGAAACTGGGAAGGTCACTTAATCTCTCTGGGCCTCAATTTTCACTATTCTGCAAAATGAGGAAGTGAGACCAACTAGAGCAGCGGTTCTTAACAAGCCCTTTGGGGGTCGAACAACCCTTTCACAGGGGTCGCCTAAGACCATCGGAAAACACAGATTGAATATATAATTACATATTGTTTTTGTAATTAGTCACTATGCTTTAATTATGTTCAATTTGTAACAATGAAAATACATCCTGCATATCAGATATTTACATTACGATTCATAACAGTAGCAAAATTACAGTTATGAAGTAGCAACGAAAATAATTTTATGGTTGGGGGTCACCACAACATGAAGAACTGTATTAAAGGGTCGCGGCATTAGGAAGGTTGAGAACCACTGAACTAGAGGAACCCTAACCTTCGTTCTTTTCTAAGGTGCTGATATTCTGCTTGATGAATATATGAGTTTAATTTCATATGGAAGGTATGTAAGGAGAAAAATATATGGATGGTTAATGTTTCATTTTACCTATTCATTTTTCGCCTCTGTTTTTCAGAATGGAGACAACAGAAAATGGAAAAGCCAGCCGGCAGTGAAGAGTGACTTGAGGAACTAAATTTACTATATTGCATAAATATTTTGGGCAGAATTTGATATAAGTACTTTTACAGCAAGATTGTATAGTTATGTTGCCTGGACTGGTTTTTACATTTTTAAGATATTTCAACTAACTTTATCTTTTTTGTATTAATTGTAAGATTGGCACATATGTCAAAAAAATACATTTGAGATTTGTCCTCCCAAATCACACAAATTTATTTTATGGTAAAAGGTTTTCCCTCTGGAAATGTTTTTTAAAAAATTCTTAGGCTTCTCTTTGCCAAATAAAACTATTAAAAATGTCTGAAATGCAAAATATTGGAGTATTCCTTTAGAAAAATATATTTATTTAATGACTGACAACTTTTAGAAATTAAAATTTATCAGAATTTAGGAAACATTTATAAAATTTTGCTGGTTAGTCTATAACATATCGTGCTTTTCAAAAAAAGAGTGTTGTAATTATTTTTATGTTGCCCATTTAAAAACAAAATTTTCAGGTAGTTGGTGTAAATTTATATTTTCTCATATTGGACAATGTTACCTTTTTTTTCTGCTAAAAATTTACTGTCCGTTGACTTTTCATATTGAAAGAGAAGCACAAAGGAGATTACAGACTTAGTGGAAAGGAAAGTTGCTAGGTTATTTGGTTTTCTACTTGAATAGAACCTTGGTCTGCTCATCTCAGAAATGTCGTGGTTATACTGTAAATGCTTGGTGACTTGTCTTCTTGTGCTGCTTCATCTGGAAGCTCATAACATGTTGTGAGAAACATGTTATTTAAATGTTGAATGCTAATTCTAGGCTTGTCATTTTTTCTTGAGTGTTTAGTAGAGGAGGAGAAAACTCTGTTTAAATATAGACTTATTATTTTCTATGAAAAAACTGGTGTTTATGTTTTTTTAAATTTGAATTTCTAGGTTAACATTGGTTAGTAATATAATATAGGTTTCAAGTATACAATTCTATAATACATCATCTGTATATTGTGTGTTCACCACCCAAAGTCAAATCTCCTTCTGTCACCATTTATATTCCCTTTACCCTATTCTACTTCCCCCCACCTACCTTTCTCTTTGGTAATCACCATACTGTTGTCTGTGACCATGAATTTTATTTTTAAATTTTTTTGCTTAATCCTTTTATCTTTTTCACCCAGTCCCTCTACCCCCTCCCACTGACAGCTATCAGTTAGTTCTCTGTATCTGTGAGTCTGCTTCTATTTTGTTTGGTAGTTTATTTTGTTCATTAGATTCCACATATAAGTGAAATCATATGGCACTTGTCTCTGACTGGCTTATTTCACTTAGCATAATACTCTCCAGATCCATCCATGCACAAGGTAAGATTTCCTTCTTTATTAAAAGCTGAGTATTATTTCATTGTGTAAATGTACCACAGCTTTTTTTTTTAAATATATTTTATTGAGTTTTTACAGAGAGGAAAGGAGAGAGATAGAGTTAGAAACATCGATGAGAGAGAAACATCGACCAGCTGCCTCCTGCCCACTCCCCACTGGGGATGTGCCCGCAACCAAGGTACATGCCCTTGACCGGAATCGAACCAGGGACCTTTCAGTCCGCAGGCCGACGCTCTATCCACTGAGCCAAACCGGTTTCGGCTACCACAGCTTTTTTATCCACTCATCTACTGATGGGCATTTGGGCTGCTTCCAAATTTTGGGTATTATAAATAAAGCTGCAGTGAACATAGGAGTGAACTCAAAGGGAAAATGGGAGGCTACTAATGTCTCCCTTGCTGACACTGAAGGTATCAGGAGACTTTTAGATGACTGCAAATCTTCTCAGGTAGACTTAAACAGAGCCACTCCATTTGCTGAGAAATGTTGTCATTGAAGATAGTCTTTCTGAAGGTGTGGCTATATTCTCTATTACTTTCTCAGAGATTGAGAATCCAAGAAAATGAGAATACTTGGATAGGCAAGGAGAGCTTTGTGAATACTAAGCTTGGCTAATTGATTCTGAGACGAAGTCAGATACAACAGGATGCTTTTGTATTTTTGTTCTGTGGATGAAGGATTTATTTCCCCCTCTGTAGAGTCCAGTTTTTCTAGTAACATTGATACTGTAGAAGTTCTCTGAAAGTCAAAATCTGTGAATGAAGTAGCTGTTAATAGCAAAGAAGGAATGACCTCAGGGAAAACAGAAGAATATCCAAGGTTGTTGTCAAGGACATTTCCTTTAATGAATTCTGTGAGACTACTGTATGCAATGGCCTTGTAATCTTCATGCACCTTAGTGTGTTTGGAGTAAAGTCAGGATCAGGAATAGGAGTGATTTGTCTTAAGGTAGCAAATAAGCTGGGGATCGATGGTGCCTCATCTTTAGAGATCCAAAGAGTCACAAAGGTGGGTAATGAAACAGAATAGCTTGCTTAGTTTTGTTGACTAAGTCATTTCAGTGACTTCATTGTTGTGACTGGGATATCCCTTAACTGTTTAAGTCGTCGTCTTTGAGATTTTTGAAGTAATCTCCAACCTTCAATCTGATATCCTAAAATTTGAGCAAGGAACTTAGAGGAAGCATGCTGTTGAAAAACCTGAATTAGCTCTGGCAGTAATGTAGAAACCGCATATTCCCATAGACTAGTGGAATTGTACAGCCAACACTGGAAGATCCCACAGTTGCTTATCTTGCTTCTGAATGGCTCATAGTCACCAAAGAAGCATCCAAGTGGAAATAGTCTGCCAGAGTGTACAGCACAAAGAGACACTCTTGACCACTAAGAGCTTCAGCGGCTAATTTAAGAGTAATTTCAGCTACAATAGTGGAAAACTCCTTTGAGCTTCCTTGGGCTCTAACACTTAAGATTTAAAAGAAGAACACAGCATGGATTATTGCTGTATTAGTGATCCCTTATTTTTATGTAGCCCTTCATAATGTATGTAGTATTGTCACTTACATTATTTCACTGCCACCTCTAATAAATAGGAGGGAAAGGAGGACAATTATCCTAATCCCTATTATATATTGTTGCAAAAATGAATTCAAAATGGCTTGCCCTAGCTGGTTTGGCTCAGTGGAACTGAAGGGTCACAAGTTCGATTTTGGGCAAGGGCATATGCCCAGGTTATTGGCTCAATCTCCAGTGGTGGGAGTCAGGTGACAGCTGATCAAGGATTCTCTCTCATCATTGATGATTCTTTCTCTCCCTCTCCCTCTCTGAAATCAACGAAAAAATTTATTTAAAAAACCCAAAGTGGCTAAGTAAAATGCTCAAGGGCACAGAAGTATCTGATCTGAATCCAGGTGTTCTGACTTCAAATTGGAAGGTAGAGATTTCAGTGGAAAAGTTGTTGGTTTTGGAGTTAGAAAGTTTAAATCCAGTTTGTCACTTAGATTAGTTATATGGTTTTGAGTTATTTAGCTAATTTAAGCCTCACTTTCTTAAAATAGAAAGCAGGAACATTTTACCTTGAGAGAGATATTTTGAATATTAATTGATATGAGGCACTCTGGAAGTTACCTGGCACACAAATAAATCTTTCATTCTACTGCACCTTTCCTGTTTCTTTGTTTTTCCTTTCCTGTGACCCTTCTTATCCTTTCCTTCCTGTTTTCTTCCCTGTGTCTTGAGAGAGTATTTTGAATATTAATTGATATGAGGCACTCTGGAAGTTACCTGGCACACAAATAAATCTTTCATTCTACTGCACCTTTCCTGTTTCTTTGTTTTTCCTTTCCTGTGACCCTTCTTATCCTTTCCTTCCTGTTTTCTTCCCTGTGTCCTTCTCTTCATCTTACCTTTTGTCTTTTCTCTCTTGCCTCCCGACTGTCCTTTCATTCCTCCTTTTGCTCTGCTTTGTTATACTTCTCTAACATCTTTTGCATCTAGACCAGTGGTTCTCAACCTTCTGGCCCTTTTAATACAGTTCCTCATGTTGTGACCCAACCATAAAATTATTTTCATTGCTACTTCATAACTGTAATGTTGCTACTGTTATGAATCGTAATGTAAATATCTGATATGCAGGATGGTCTTAGGCGACCCCTGTCAAAGGGTCGTTCGACCGCCAAAGGGGTCGCAACCCACAGGTTGAGAACCACTGATTTAGCCCAACAGCGGACCTCCTAGTGAGTGGTCCTTGCAGTTACTAAAAGTGCTCCTTTAAGTAACAGCCCACAGCTGACCTTCAGTTTAGAATTGGAGTCATGAGGCCAGTGTGGAGAAGAGCATGGTTTGCTGAATGGAAACTCAAGTAATAACTCACAGATCCAGAAAGGCTCTGAGGGTGGGATAACCCAAGTTTACTCTTGAAATGAGCAGGCATGCTCTACCAAAACATAAAATATAAAAAAGTATGCATATAATTCTAGGTCTTTCAAGAAAAGAAAAATGGGATCTATTTTTAGGGTAAAATCAATTCTACTTTTTAAAGAAGTGTTTTGATTGATTTCAGAGAGGAAGGGAGAGGGAGAAAGAGATAGAAACATCGATGATGAGAGAGTCATTCATTGGCTGTCTCCTGCATGCCCATACTGGGGATCGAGCCTGCAACCTGGCCATGTGCCCTGATCGGGAATCAAACCTTGACCTCCTGGTTCATAGGTTGATGCTCAACCACTGCGCCACATTGCTGGCTGGGCAAATTCTGTATTCAAATTTAATGTATTCATAAGGCTTCCATTTCTTCCCTCCATCCCCAAGACTTTATTTTTATAGATTTCAAAGAGGGAAGGAGAGGGAGAAAGAGATAGAAACATCGATGATGAGAGAGAATCATTGATCTGCTGCCTCCTGGCGCTCCCCACACTGGGGAGCCCACAACCCGGCCTTGACTGAGAATAGAACCATGACCTCCTGGTTCATAGGTTGATGCTCAACCATTGAGCCACACTGGCTGGGCATCCCTAAGACTTTAAAATGCAGTAGCTGCCATGGAGTGTATAAGGCTTTTCAAAAACTAGGCTCTGCTAACGTCTTTCTCCAGCTTCATCTGCTGTTCCCCAACTTCCACTGTGTTTAGTAGGGCTAAACTTCATGTGTCTTCCCAAACATACCATGCCCCTTTAATGTTTTTGTGACCATTAAACAGGTCCTTTTAAAATCCTATAACACCCCTTCTCCTTTTCTGGCTGGCTAACTTCAACTTTAAAAACCCATCGCGACACAACCTCATCCAAAAAGATCTTGCCAACATCCTCCCCCATACTGAGTTAAGGTACTGATTTTTGCCTCTCTGTCTTACATGTGGTTTTGTTATTGCATTTACTTTACAATAATTTTTATTTTTTACCTTTCTGTATACGCTACTGAGCTATTGGACTGAGTTCCTTGGCAGCAGTTTACTCATAT